TAAAAGCTAAGAAAGAAACTATAGAAGAAAAGTTTGATAGATTTAGATACATAAAAGTTTTTAAAAAACTTCTGCACCAAGTAAACATTACAAATGTTTAAATGTGCAAATTAGCCTGAAAATAAAACTGGAAAACCTTTTGGTACTTATACCAGAAAAAGATGTAATGTTCTAAATATAGACGGTGCTTTTCTGCATAAATGAGGAACATCCAGACTCACCACCGTCCTTCGCCTGTTCACAGACTCTGGTCACAGGACTAAAATCATTAATCATAATAATAGCCATCAACAAAACAACACTAACCATACGCCAACACTCAGTGAGCACCTCCACAGACAGACATTGTTCTCAGTGTTTTGTGTTTGTTAACTCATTTAACTTTTCCAACAAACTTTTGAGGGACCTACTCTTATATTCTTCATTTTACAACAGAGGAGATTAAGATCAGAAAGGCCATTATAGAATTTGCCCGGGTTACGAGGCTGGGAAGGGGCAGAGTTAGAATTCAAACCCAGGCTTCAGACTGTGTGCCATTCATTTCTCCCCTCAAGAGGCAAGAACAGGAGATTTTGAAAGGAAGTGATACAATCAACCAATAAAGCTATGCAATAACCAACCTGATTAATAAACTAAAAATTAAAGTTAAAGCAATAGTGATATGTCATCTTTGCTAAATGGACAAGACTCTAAAAAGTAATACCAATGAGAGCAAGTTTGCAAAAAAAAAATGCTTCACTGAGACTATAAATAGGTTCAATTTTTAAATATCCACAATAAGCCTTAAATTTGAGCATCGTGTTGGAGGAGGTCACTTAGAGGATGTGACCGCCAGTTGACCCTCGAGCTGGACCCCGGCATTCGGAGGCTCCCCCCCTCCCCTGTCCTTGGAATGGATGCTCTGCCCACCGTTCCCACAGTGGGAGCTCTTCCAAGGATGCAGCCTTGAGAGAGCAAGGTGTTGTTGGGAACATCTGGACGGTGTACGTAACTGAACCCCGTTAAGCCCTCTAGATAAACTTTAAGATTCTGGGAGGATTGTGGAGATCTACTCATCCTGTGGCCCCTAAGATAAGCCTCATAAGTAAGTTCCCTTCTTTATCACACCTGCCACCCACCGACCTGGGGGGGGTCTGCCTCTTTCTTCAGTCTCTCCTTGTTCTCCTTGATCGGGGGCTGGTTTCAAACTTCATCAGGGCAGCTCCCGAGGTCGCAAACCAACACATATCCTTTTAACAACAATTTTGATTAAAAAATTTATTTTAAGGCAATATTCAATGATTTACATAAAAATACATGCTCAGTGAAAGTCATCACGTTGATTTTTTTGTTTCTAGAATAGTTTTATAACTTTTGCTTCCAGACTATCTTATCATATACTAAACATATAGAAAGTACAGAAAATTAAATAATAAAACCCACGCAGCCCAACATTCTTATTGAGTCTGTTTCTCATCCTTTAAAAATGTTATGTACAGTACAAGGTCAATTTTGCTTTAAAATAATCGTGAGTGGACAAAAGATTAGGTAATGGAACCTTGGGCGCCTCTTATTCTCCTCTTTGTGATTTTTTTGCATTTTCAAAATTTGCTCTTGGAACATGTATTATAACAAAAAAGTGTGACTAAGAATTTTAAATATGTATTTTACCTTAGGCTTCCAGAAAGAGAGGGAGCACTGAGAATAGACATTTACTTCTACTTCCTGCTCAAGGCCCCATAGAAATGAAAGAAAATGGGGGCCCAGCCCGTGGCTTAGCGGTTAAGTGCTCAAGCTCTGCTACTGGCGGCCTGGGTTCAGATCCTGGGCACGCACCAATGAACCGCTTGTCTGGCCATGCTGAGGCGGTATCCCACATACAGCAACTAGAAGGATGTGCAACTATGACATACAACTATCTACTGGGGCTTTGGGAAAATAAAGGAGGAGGATTGGCAATAGATGTTAGCTCAGGGCCGGTCTTCCTCAGCAAAAAGAGGAGGATTGGCATGGATGTTAGCTCAGGGCTGATCTTCCTCACACACACACACAAAAAATGCTTAAAAAAAAAGAAATGAGAGGAAATGAATATATATTTTTTCAACGAATCAAACTTCATCATACCGGAAAATATCAAAGAATGAGATTGGTACACTAAAATTTTTGAGAAATTCCTGGAATGTTAAAAGCAGATACAACTGCAAACACACACAGACACACACACACAGACAAACACACAGCAACAGCAGCAACCACCATACCCAAGCTTGGGATCCAAAAGCTTGAAAGGACTTAAATCATCCAGGCAGTTACCTTACATTGGTGACTGATTAATTAACTTCAAATTCATTAATTGGTTTTAGGATTTTAGTTGCCCTTCCCCCAAACACAGAGCAGCTGACAGCAGGATCTTTGCTCCCAGAATAAAGCCCTCCAGATCAGGCTCTAGCGACAGTGGTGGTCTGCTCAAGAGAAGCTTGGCAAAGAGTATGGAGCCCGAGAAAGCGACAGACAACTGCAAGTCCTTAGTCCTCCACAACAAAGACAGAGGAGGAAGCACAATGTTAAAACAAGAAAATACACCTGTACGCAGAGATGGACACACAACAAAGATGAAAGTGTCCTCCTACACAGAAGGCTGTCCATCGGCACCTGTGGGGACATCAGCGCTGCTCGTCTCTGTATCTCCACCTTACAGAGCAGGGGGTCTGCTGACCTACCACCCGCCCCTTCACCGCAGAGGATGACGCACTTTTCAAAGCGGACACCTCTTGGGCTAACAGACCTCACAGCTGCCCAGGAAGCCCACAGCAGCCACGTGGACCAGTCAGTCTAGACAGTGGTGCCCAAACTTTATCTCGTGTGAGAATCACCCAGGAGCTTGTTGAAAACGCAGATTCCTGAACCCCAGTCCTGGAGATTGGGATTCAGCTGGTAAAGCCCAAGAACTGCATTTTCACAAGCATCTGACTCATTCTGATGCAGTGTTCAGTATGTGACATAGTGGACCTATAAAAGACAAAAACAAAAACAACTCAATAACAGCAAAAAACAAAACTAACTTTCCCAGAACTAACCAGATAATTTACTTGGGACTACAATTTGCTTGAAATTGAGTCCCTTTATCACCAAGATCCTGTTTTTCCTTTGTGAAGGGGAGTGATCAGAGCTGCCACCTGTCCTTCACTGATTTTAAGGATCCTCAGGATGTCATTTGCAAAGAGATTTGGCAGGTAAGTCATTCCATTGACTTTGCACAAAGGTTTTTTAAAGTTACCAGTTTGTAATACTCAACTAATTATTCCAAGTTTACCTGTAATATAAGCAATTATAATATTTTATGGTAGGAGTAACAAATATCTTGATGATATCACAGCAATTTGTGTAATTATTTTTAATTTTACCTAACATGCTAGAAACATGTAGTGTGACACACCAAAAAAAATGTAACACAACCAAAAATTGCCAGATGTGCCCTGGGGCACAAAACTGCCCCGGGTCAGAACCACTGCCATGACGCACAGTGAACTATCCTCAAGTTGGCGGAAGGGCACAAACAGAGAAACAAAAAGAAAAAATTGCTGGAAAAGGGTCTCTGGTTTTGTGAGGCCTAAGGAATATGAAAAACAAGTTGTAACGATGCTGCTGCACAAACAGGAGAACAGGGGACGAACGGCGCCACAGTGATGGGGTATCTGGACCTGGGGCAGGTGACTCAGCCTCTGTTTCCTCATCTACAAAGCGGATAACAGTGACGCCATCTCACAGGCAATGCGAAGATGAGTTAATTCTATGGGGAGTACTTAGAAGAGCATCTGGAATGTGATAGAGTACTTAAGCCATGCTATATGTCAGTGTCATTGCTATTACCATTATTCTCTCCTTGAGTAGGGTAGTGCACAAGGTAATAATTTAATCAAACTGAAGATTTTAGATAATGGGACTATGGAGAGTTCTATTTTGAAAAAGAGTTAAAAAATCCCTTAAATTTTCGATAGAATAAGTGGAAAGTAAACTTTACGTGGTGACTTTGCAGGTGTGTGCACGTGTGTGTGTTGTGTGATTCGGATCTCGCTTCTTCCACGAAGCACACGGGATTGTGTACACACATGTACACAGCGTCAACAATGCTATTAAAGTGGAGACAGGAGTGAACACCCGGAGACAGGCAGAAACAGAAATAAAATTCGTCTCTTTCTGGTGTTTTAGAGCTGGCCAGCTACTAACAATCCGTAAGTTTTAAAAGCGCGCCCAATCTTCACTCTGGCGCTCACAGCCAAGCCGATGGCGACGGTCTCCGTCCTCGCTGTCAGGAGGAGCCGAGGGGACCGTGTCAGACCCGGGGACGGACCCTTCTCCAGCTCGGCGTCTGGGAGGCAAGGGCTCCAGCATCCTGATGGTCGAGCCTCTACGAAAAATAGAGGAAGAGGCCTTGTCCCAAACGGAGGTGTTTATACACAAAAAAACCGTTCAAGACCATCGGCTGTCCTTCTTTAATGCCTGGATCCCAAACTCACAAAGCGATACCAGGAAATTTTGACCCAGAGATTCCTGCTGAATCTCTCTCTCACACACACTCCCCCACGCACTCTCACACCCACACGCACACTCACACCCACACGCACACTCACACACACCCGCGCACTCACACACACGCGCGCGCAGCGTCGTCACAGGGTCCGGAAAAAACTCGGAGCGTCGCAGGACTGTCCGGCGCGCGGCCACAGGTCCAGGGCGCGCGGAGCCTCCAGAAGCCCGTGCCGCCCGGTCCAGTCCCGAGCGGCGGCAGTCAGCGCGTCCGCACGCGGGGGACCTTCCGGACGCCCCCGCGGACCGGCC